TCCCTCGGTGTATAACTATTACTGAAAACAGAGTTTCTATAAATGATCATGAGTTACAACAGCCCTGAAGCACATTTATCAGATTTGAAAGATTTATTACAGTGATTTTAACTGATTAAAAGTTGAATTGTGAAACAAACAAACAAACCAAAATAAATTGAAGTTTAAAGCTACTGTAAATTTGTACCTTTCATGATGTTATGAAAATATTAATAACTTCAAATTACTAAAAGAATAAACAATATATCAAAGCAATGAAAAAAAAAGAAGAAAAAAGTTTTAAGATAAAAAAAATTACCAAAATCTCTAGCTTTCCAAAACTCTGATTACTGAAGAAGTTATTCATAATATTCAGATAAAAGAAAAAAAAGAAAAAAAAAAAAATGATTTTGAGTTTTGAATATATATTAAAAACTTTTCCCCGACATAATGAAATAGCATTTGATTTAAAAAAGCCAGACCAAAATTTTGGCTTTGTAATAAAATTAGTTGTAACTCAAATGTTTATTGATTTGAACTGTAAATAAAAAAAAAGGTTAATTCCTCACAAAAAAAATAAATGATTTACATTCATACTTTCAAAATCAGGAAACATATACCATTTCTACCTATGCTTTGTACTGCTGTGTCACCTAACGCATAAAGCATTTTTCCCAAATTATAAGAAAGTCTTTACATCAGTAAAACTAACCCGTAAATGAAATGCTGAAAAATGAAATCATGCATCAATTATTAACATTTAATTTATGCGCACTTTACAATAATCTTTATATCATTCTCTTATATACTGACATTGTATACATACCCAAATTTCACAAAATACCATGTATTTTTATCGAGTGTCAACATGAACCATGTTTATGGTAGATTACGAATACGAAACAATATGGATGCTGTATGAATCTTTCCAGTGATAATTGTAGTTGAATTAAGAAAATATCATTTCCATAAATGATAAACGTACTGATTCGTTAGAATACAGTGCTTGATGACTGTCGTCAACATCTGGATATTATTATCCTTATTGTAAAAGTATATAAAACCTCACTCCCCTGTTTAATCTTTTTCTATGTACTTCCTTTACATGGTCAGCATTTGAGTAACGTAATGAATGCCGGGGAAGAATGTTTCACCATACAAATGAGCATTTATGGAGCATACGAAATGTAAATTCTATGTGATAAAGCTGAAACTGTCAACGTATATTTGTTCAACCTAACAGATGATCCACTAGAAACTTTGTTATAAAAAATGTCATACTATCTGTTCTTGTTGGAACAAATATTCTTTACCATATATTCCGTTAGGAACATATACTGTAATATGTATTCCAGTGGACATAATATTCTAGGATAGTTTTTCCATTTGGAACTTATATGAAAGAACTTCTATTTCGTGACAGCACCACATGGTACATTTCCAAAATCATTCATAGCACAATGCAATATTAACGCTTGTGGAATTTTATTGCACAAATTTATTACGTGGTAAACGGTATCAACAACATTGTCCCATTTCATACCACACTTGCTTGCCTAGCGCAAAAACTATTGTTACTTATTTAGGGAAATAAATTACCACCTGAATGTCTGTTCTCCGAGAAATTACGAGCACTGCAAATTATTGAAGAACCAATAATCCATGTTTCATTACTAAGACAAGCTGAAAATATAATTATTTTGTAACTCAATTCTTGTATAACGTTTAAATGATGCAGATTTCCAACGACCTAAAGTCATAGTTTCTTCATCAGTATAACCATTCATAGCAAAATGTATTGCTGCACCTATTCGAAACGGATGCGTGTTGTACTCATTTGGATTACAATCAATAAATTTCATGGTCTTAATCAGTACTTTAAAAAAATGATAACGTGTTGCACTGATTTTGTAAAAATGACAAAAGGTGGTCCAGTACTTTAGTGTCTGATTGAAATAAAGTTTAATAACAATCTCACTGGGCAAATTTTTGCTTGATTAAAACTTTCAACTGTTAATGTGCATGTTGCAGAAAAACATTTTTGATCTGTTTTTTTTTTTTTATAATATGCTGCGTATAATTGTAATTTCACCGATTCTCAAAAATGCAAAGAATGCTAATGAAAACATGGATCTAAATAATGTATATTCATATAATGAAGAACATGAAAACTGCAAATAATAAGTCGCATTATAATTTTATTGTTATAGATTAGTAACTATCTACTACACCGTATAATTTGTCCATTCCTTTTTTTAACATGCTGTTTATAATTAAAGACGAAGTCAAATCTACTCAACACATCCATGTGTACCTCTAATAATTGACATATAGATAGTAAATTTACTCGCTAAATTTAGGAAACGTTGAATAAATATCTTCGTATATGTAAGAGAATCATTTTCCCTTTCTTCGTGATTAAGCACGAGCGTTAGCGAGTACTTATCATGAAGTAAAGGATTATCATTCTCTTACAAACTTAGAATACTGCAAAATGCTCAAGGCTCAAATGATCTCTTGATTGGTTGTATTCAAGAATTAGTTTCATTGTCATTGTAAATTAAATGGGCAATTTATTTGATGCATGACTGCATTTTGCATCATTTCATTTATGGGTTAGTTTTAGTGATGTAAGGACTTTCTTATAATTTGGGAAGTATTTAAAAAAAAACTGCGTTATAGACATGAGGTGACACAACAGTACACAGAAAAGATTGGAATTGTATATGTTCCTGATTGAGTGTATGAATGTCAATCATGCAATATTTTATTGAGGATTGATCCTTTTTTATGTACAGTTTAAAATAGCAAAACACATTTGAATTACAACTAATTTTTTTTTACAGCCAAAAAGTTTTGGTCCACTTTTCTAATCAAATACTTATTCATTATGTCAGGGAAATGTTGTAATAAAATTACTTTAAAAGTTTGAAATATATTCAAAACTAAAATCAAATTCCTGGTTTGTTTTTATTTCATTGGACTATTGGAAATAACTATTCTTCCCAGCCGCTGGTTCAGTAATCAAAATTTTGGAAAGCTAGAGATTAAGGTTATTTTTATTTTAAACTTTTTATCTTTAATATTTTGCATTACTTTGATATTTTTGATATTTGCATTGGCAAAGGAGCAGGTATCTCAACTTGCCCAAATATCGCTTGCACGGTCAGTGCTGAAGGTCCTTGAATTTCAGGCTGTCTTTGAAATGGCATAGAGGCTGTATTTGAAGAATAACAGGTAATTGGACTTCACCTACAACTGCCCAAAATTCTGGAATTCCCTGACCTAGATTTGCCGGTGCAGCGACATCACAGTTCCTCCTTCGGCGTCGTCTCTCTGGTGTTGAGCATCTACTGCGGGCACATTCGCAAGCCCATTTTCATTTCTTTGTCGACCAATTCTAGGCAATTGTATAAATAAAATAGGTTAATAATTTAAGTACTTACTAATAATACATTATCATTATTCCGTCTCTTAATTTTGGTTTTAAGAAAAGCAGTTTCAATACACCAATTTCGGTATTCGAATTAACTCCTGTCTATCAAGTACATCATTTAAAATTTGATAAATCTGTCGATACTTACAACTATTGAGCTTCCAAATTGTGTCTTATCTGTATATTATTATCATCCGTATATCGGAAATTTGACAAATGTAAATATGCGATTTAATAATTTAGCCTGTAAACACACACACTTACCAGTATTTACGCATTGGCAGGTTTACCTTAACGATCTTCATCTGAAATCAAATGTGTTATTAAACATATTTAGGTAATGCGTGTACAAAACTGTATAAATTATTCATTTAAAATATTTTGCATTACCATGTGGCCGCAAATTAAATTCGACGAAGTGAAGAAGTTAATTTAATTGTTTATCAAAAACAAAATGGAATATTTAATCCGAATTGAATCAAAAATATGTATTCCTCAATAAACTTAATCCATCTATACTTATCTTTATAAACTATTTCTTTCGATTTTTCAAAGTCCTCTCCGTTTGTTTTTTTAAGGTACACGTGACTATTAAAACGCACAGACTTTTACGACTCAACTCAACTTAACCTACCAAAATAAACTATGATGCTGCCGCTTTTTCGTAAATATAGTGTTTCAATAGTTGGATTCAGTAGAAAGTGATGCACTGAAGCACAATTAGAAATGACAGGGGTCTGTCCGTGCGGTCTTGTTATCGCTCTCGCAAGTACAATTCTTGCCAGATTTTTATGAAACTTAATTTATAGGTTTATATAAAACAATGTCTTGGACAAGTTCGAAAATCAGTGCCAGTCAATCATTTAAAAAAAAATTATGCCCCTTGGAAACATTATTTATATGAAAAATTGCATTGTTAGTGCTCTCATTTGTACAATTCTTACCATAATTTAATGTAACTTATATCATAGGTTTATATTAGCAATGTCTTTCACGAGTTCGATAATCAGTGCCAAATAAATATTTGTAAAAGAGTTATGCCCCTCTGAAATATTAATCATATGGAAAATTGCATTGTAAGTGGTCTCACGTGTACAATTCTTGCCATGATTTCATGAAATTTGTACTATAGATTCATGTCATCAATGTCTTGGACGAGTTCGAAAATACGTGATAATCAATTATTTTAGAAGAGTTCTGCCCCTTGGAAATATTGATGATATGGAAAATTGCATTTATGGGCCCTCATGTGTGCAATTCTGGTCAGAATTTTATGAAACTTATATCATAGTTTTAAATTAGCAATGACTTTAACACTTTCGAAGATAAATATTTTTAAAGAGTCTTGCCCCGTTGGAAGTATTAGTTATAACGGAAATCGCATTGCATTTGCTCTCAATCCTTCATTTCTCTGAGACACTTATAAAAAAGTTAAGGAACAAAAAAAATAGTGCCTTTGTGCCTTCGATGAATTAATTATGTACAACGCGGAACTCTGTTTTTTTTTTATTTATACACCCTTATAACATGATTATTTACGACGATCACGAATTAATAACTGTTGTGTTTTTCTTTTATCTTTTAGTTTGAAGATAAAACACGGCGGAATAAAAAGAATCAATGGAATTTTTTTCAGAAATATTCAGATGCAGTTTACAGTTCTGTACCCATATGTTGCTTTTTACAGTATTTTGCACATGTTCTGCAGGTATTTTGTAAATAGTTACAAATATATTTTCCATCATTCCGACTGACAAAAAAGAACGTAAACTTATAAAAGAAAACAAAAATGCACATCAAATATCCCTTTTGTCCGTTCGATTGGTAAAATATGTCTCTCGTGCTGTGTAGAGTCTATAACAAGTTTGTGCTAGTTTTCTTTTTTTTTTAAGTTTGCGTGTATAATAGAAACGCTTATAAAAGTGTATCCAATTGTTTTTCAAATTTATTCAGTTTTCCTGCCACGTTATCTAACAAATATTTCAATGATCTGTGAGAGTCCAAATGTTTGTAGTGTTTTTTTTTTTAAATGCAATTGTCGAACAAATCATGACAGTAGTTGTATCTGATTTACAGCTCTCCATGATATTTTATATACCCTAGGTTTTCCAAATATTTTTCTGATTGTGTATCTCATTTAGAGGTATTCTGCGATAGTGGTGACGTCAATAACTCCATTATCCAACAACACAAAGCACCACTAGACATCTAGGAATCTACAAATTCTTTTTCAAAAAAAGGCAGATAAGATACACATATCCAAGCTGCAAATCTTCTCATAAACCTGCTAAATTGTGGATAAATTTAACAGAGACTAAATGTATCAAAGATCTGCTATCAATACAAAACTCCACAAATGACGAAAAACATGAAATATAAAATAATAGCATAGCCAATCATAGCGACAATACACGATTAAAACATTTCAAAAGCATACACGGACCAACAGTAACAAACGACAACAAAGGAGTAAAGATGATATCAAAACAAATCTCAAAGTGATATTATATTATACATCAATGTAATATCAACTTGTAAACTGATCAAAGATAACAGACTTCCAATTTGGTACGTTAGACGCATATTTCGTCTACATCAGTCGTGCTCGAATCAAAACAGTTAAAAGTAAATTAAATACGAAGTTGAAAAGCATTGAATTTCGAGAATTGTTCCAAATACGGCTGAGGCTTTCTTTGAACCATAGAGAACCGTCATACAAGTTGAAGGTTAAGCTAGCTGTTATTTCAGTTTCAACCCACCATTTTCTTCGGAAAATGCCTGTTTCAAGTCAGGCACTAGAAGTTTTTTTTCCAGTTTTGATATATGGGGTTTTATTGTCTCCCCCTTTTAATACTTTTGCGGTCGTAAAATGGTATGACGTTGTCGTCGTCGTCACGTTCGCCCGAAGACATTTTGTTTCTAGATAATAACTTGAGTAAAAGTACATGGATCTCTATGACATTGTACCACAACGTTTCATGCCGACAAAAAGGTTTGTGTCGATTCAGGGGCTTATGGTCCTAATTGGGTAGGAAAAAGGGGTCAAAAACAATACTTTTTCCAATACTTTGTATAGATTGCTTATTTCTTAAACAATTTCAATTGGGTTTAATTCAAAGTCTCTTATTTCTGGGGTACTTTGATATGTTGAATCTCACCATGTATAAGATTTAAGATTTTGAGCCCCGGTTTTAAATTGTTCCACATTGATGTCCAAATGGTCCATAATTAAACTTTAATTCAATCAAAAATTGAATTATTGAGGTTCTTGATATGCTGAATCTAATCTCGTATTAAATTTTTGATTTTGGCCGGTTTTCAATTTTGTCCACATTAAGTTCCAAAGAGTCCAAAAGTAAACTTAGTGTGATTCTAAGAAAAAAAAATCTTGATGTTATTCGATATGCTTCATCTTATTATGTTTATGTATTATACTTTGGGCCAAGACTTCAAGTTGATCTAAGATTAAACTGTTTGTTTGTTTTCACAAAATGAATACATTGGGTTCTTTTATATGATAAATCTAATCGTGTATTTTAGATTTTGAATTTTTGAACTCGATATCAAATTGGTCAACATTGAGGTCTTAGGGGTCTACATTACGATACAAGAGTCCAAAATTAAACTAAGTTTGATTTTAACAAAAACATTATTTCTTGGAGTTCTTCGATATGCTGAATCTAATCATGTTTTTACATTTTTTTTATTTTGGGCATAGTTAACAAGTTGGTCCTAAACGGGGAAAACAAATTAATTTTGTTTGATTTCAACAGAAATCAAATATATGGGATGCTTTGATACGCTGACTTGAACTGTATATTTAGATTTTGAATTATGGGCTCCGGTATCAAATTGGTTCACATGGAGGTAAAAAGGGTCCATATTTAAACTTTTTTTGAGGAATGTTGGCTGAATATAAACATATATTTAAATTTTGGATATTTGACCATACTAGGTAAATATCTAATTTCTATGCTGTGTAAAATTGTCCGTGTTTTTGTGTTACCTTGTTTTGTTTCATTTTAATTTTTTACGAGATTGGAACATCTGTAAACTACTGTCGCTTCAATTTATAGTATACGCCTGTAGCTGACTTTAATTTATCTTTTTTTTTCTTTTATGTCAACAAATGAATCCAAAATTGTAAAATGATCATTAAAAAATCGGTACCGCGACCTTTTTCTATACAATTTTCCACCTTAATGCTGTATCTTACTTCCGTTGGGTTTTTGTTTACAGTTTATGTTCTTTAAAAACAATCACTTTTTGGTAAACATTTTGATCACATAGCAATTCGTCTGATATGTGAATTCTGACAATTGAATAAGACAGATTTGTTCTCCAATATAAGTTATATAGCGGTCGTAAAATGCTATCAGTTAAATTGTCGTTTGTGATTACCTTTTCAAGTACATCTAGTCATTATTTTGTTGTTTCTTTTAAATTTGCGCTGATTTGTCACAATTTATAAAAGTAAACCATTATAGATCAAAGTACGGTCTTTAACACGGAGCCTTGGCTTACACCCAACAGCAAGCTATAAAGGGCCCCACAAATAAATCATAGAACTTTCAATAAAAAGAAGTGTAAAAAATAATGATACAATAATAAATATAAAAAACAGGCTATGCTTTAATCTATTATGAAAAAGCAATACAGTAAAATTGATAAACAATACTGTAAAAAAAAATCGTGTAACTGCTGAAGGTTCATCAACGCATTGAACTATATGTTATTTATCATGCCTTTGGTATCGATGTTTTAACATTGTAGTATAGTTCATATTTAGAACTTAATTTCACTAGACTTTTTTATAACAATAACAATATAACAATATACCTTATTTTGAATCACTCAGACACATATATACATGTGTAAAAAGAGGCAAATACATAATCATATTTATGGTTGCTACAGAACAATGTTAACATAATCATATAATTTAGAGTATAATTACAATATTTTAACTAATTTGTTAATGAAAAGAGATAAGTTCTTCATAACTTTAACATTGCAAAATGAAAGCAGTCCTTTCCTTTTCTCAACACAAGGATACCTGTGGTAATATTCTGATATATGCTTATTTCCTATATTTTAAACAATAACAGGCTGGCACACAAATACATAGTGAAACGAATTTCCAATTGACAAGGAGCAGATATGACACTGTCTTTCATCTATATGAATTCCATTCTATCTTCCTGTTTCTATTGATAGAAGGTTGCAGCATCGCAGCTTAGTAATATTTTTACGATCTGCAAATGAGAGTCTTAATAAATATTTTTTCTAATCCATTGTCGATTTTGAAAAGACCATAGTTTTCCCACCTCGATGAGATTTGATTTGACTGTGCCACTGATTGATGCATTCAACTGTTAGTCTTTGCTTAATATTCGTTTGTATCTGAATTGGATCTATATTTGATTGAATATTCCATATAAAGCTAAATCAAGTATTGTCAAATATTGATTTAACATGTTCAAACTGATTGGATTCGATCAATTTGAACATTGTATGGTACCAAATAGATGAGTTGTATAGAGCTCCGTTTCTAAAGTATCAAAATAATCTTTTTTTTTCTTTTTTTATTTACAGTTAACGTTCAGTGGCAGGCAAAATTTCCCGTAATTTTTGGAAATGTAACGTATCTTCAGTGCAATATATCAGACACAGCGTTCAACTGTACAAACAAAGATCGTCAGTGGATTGGCGGTCCTAAGTATGATGGGCTTTGTTATGAAGATGAATGTCCAACTTCTAAAAAGTATCAAGTGATGAAACAAGCTAAATGTTTGTACACATTAATGATTTACAACTTTTCGGAAAGCGATGTCAACTGTGAATATACATGCCTCTATGGTGCATCGAAAATGCGACGAAATTTAACTCTTGACGAAAATAAGTTTATATGTAAGTAAAATTTATTTATTCGAACTAAAATGCATAAAAATGATATGCATTTAAAAACATTGTCAAGTAAGCCGTATTTTTATTTTACTTGTTATCGTTATCGGTTTACATTTATACATTTGTACATTTTATTGTGTCAAAAACATGAAAAATTGTAAAGTTTTTCACTGGCTTTGTCAGTTCCTACAAGTCCTCCTTCAATGATAGTAGATGCAATTATTCTTTTAGACTCATGACCTTTTGCATCTCGCTATAGAGTTTTTGACTTTGGGTGTTCCTAGCGCAGGTGTGTCCTGAAGTGCGATTCGGACGCAAAAGGTTTTTACGTTGTTGTTTCCATTTTGTTTTCCTTTGTATTTATACCTTACTTGATTTGTACTTTATCGAGAAATTGTATACTACTTACGGTATGTACTATCAACTACAAAAACAATTTTATCGGCTTCTTTGTCAATAAACTTTCAACTACAAAGAATTTTTGTTTGCGTCAATGTCAATTTTACTCTCAAGTAGAACTTTTTTTGTTGGCGTCTTTGTGAGATTTATTTGTATGTTTATTCAAATTATTTAGTCGGTTGTTTTGTTTATTTTTACACAGTTTTGGATGCTGGATCCCAATTATTGCCACATTAACCTTTTCTGTCTGTTAGGGCTTCTTATTTAATGTTGTCAATTTAACGGAACTATAAACAATTGTCATTCAAGTGTGAATTTTGCTAGCTTAAAATCCAGGTTTAACGCAACTTTTACCTCGAAAATGGAATTTTTATAAATAATTATAATTTATTTTTCTTCAGTATTCGAAATAATTCATATATTTTATATGATAATTTTTGTATTCTTGTTCTTCATTTTTGCTAATTTGCTTTTTCTGTATACCCTTTTGTGTTTTCTTGGTTACATAGGACGAGGCTCTGTACTTTTTCATCTCGTCATTGTGTTATTGTTCTGTGATACTTTCTGTATTCTTGTCTATTGTTTTTGCTAATGTGCTTTGTCTGTGTGTCTTTTTGAGTTTCTTTCAAGCATATGGCTTGGCTCTGTACATCCCGTCATTGTGTTATTGTGTCATTGAAAATGTTTGTTTATATATCTGTTTTTTTATAGTGATTAAGATACTAACACAAAGTTGACTGCTGTACTCCTATTTTTGACATTTGTACCTATCATGTCTGTTTGTTTAGTTCACACATCGTTGTCAATATAATGGAATTTTATACAACTGTCATACATATTTATTTTGTTTGTGTTTCTTTAAATTTTACATCGGAAAACAATCTTTAAAAACATATTTTAATGAAAATAAAACCTTACGGCTTTCAACGAAATTCAGGCTAGATAGATAGTTCATTGTCTAATTTGTTGAAAAGGTGAAAAAGGTCCACAATGTGATGTCAAAAACAAACACTGATAGAAATAAAAGAAAAATTCCTGGTATTGGGGTACTGGTTCTAATTTTTGTAAAATAATAAATAATATAAGTTCAAGGGGATTATGAAATTGCCCTTTACCTAAAGAACCACCCCGTCTCATTCTTTTCTTCAAAAAAGAAATAAGTTTAACAAAACATATGCATTATCTCTAATTTTTGTATTCTTGTATCCCTACTATAATAAATATGATAAATTTTGGAAATAAATGAAAGTTCAATGGCAAAAAAACATTTCTTATTTCCAAAGCTAATCAATTATGATGCTAGATTTTAAGAAAAGGTATTACATTGTACTTGTTAATTACGCTATGATGAAGACCAATCAAGTACGTAAAGCTATAAAATTAATGTTCGTCAAATCAAGAAGTCTGTCTTTGAATTGCACTTGCAAAGATTACTAGTAATTACTATTTCACTCTCTGTAATACTATTACCTACAGAACTCGTACAAACAATAAGATAAAGAAAAACTGTGTCGATGCACACGTATCAAGAAACTGTATCTTTTTTCCTTTTTTTGTCAGTGTATTTTAAAGTTTATAGCATATTTATTTCTAGATGTCCCACTTGAAAGAGATATTTCGCAAGAGTATGTGAAACACGACAAGACAATAACTTTTCGAACTAATATAAGCAAGATTTATCCAGAACCATCATGTGTTGCTGATTTTAATGTAAGTAAAGAAAGCGTTTACTGAAAAGCATCTTTTAATTCAGAAATGGTTACTTCCATTACGGAAACGCGTATTTTTTAATGGTTTGTAGGTCATTACTTTGGACAGCTGTATACTACTGTTGCCCTTATCATACAGCGTAATGTTATGAAAATTCCGATGTTGGGCCTTATTATCCCTAAAGTAAAGTGTTTTCAAATTATGCACATAAATTAAATATTTTAGTTTTGCTTTATTAAATCCACTTCAAAGATGCCAGCGTGTATCGATGATAGTTTGTGTCAGCACAAAAGTGCGGACTACTGGGATTGTGATTCCCTCAAAGACGAAACATCCACAAGCTGTGACATAGATCAAGTGGTTGTAAAAACTTATCAAATATACAAGGCTTATGATTGCAACAGGAATATATCACCATATCTGTATTTGGTAAATTGTTCGGAATTTTGGGTCCTCAATACGCTTCAACTGCGGTCTTTATTTGTTATTTGTTATTTTTTTTAATTCGAGCATCAATGATGAGTCTGTTGTAGACGAAGTGCGCTTCTGATATCTATGATGCGGTTTTTGCTACGCCGGCCACGCGTTTTGTATATTATAACATAAGACTAGTCAGTGTCGCTCGAATCAAAACAGTTGTACATCAAAATGAAATATGACCAGGTTGAAGAGAATTAATAATCAAAAGTTCCGAAAAGTTGTAAAACAGCTACAGAAATGACAGAATTAAAAAATCATGCAACATTGTGTTTTATTTGACTCATAAATAAGGTAAAGCACCATCAGCGCCGGAAAAAAGATTTTTGGTTTATTTTATTCATTATCGAAATATTATATTGCGTGATGCATATATTCTAGGTTGTCTTGATATTCAAAATGCTTCATATGGTCTATTTTTTTAATCTTACCAAACACCCTTATAACGTCATTACGATGAAAACACTGCGAAGTAAGGACGCCGATATCATACATCGGGTAAAATTTACACACATGTCAACACGCTTTCACTTTGGTGCTCCGGGTATTACTTATAAATATATATCAAATTTGTATTTGTTTTTTTTTGCTTTTGGTTTATATTTCATTAATACGAGAAAAATTTACATGCATATTAAGAATTATAACATACTTTTGGTACGCTGGGTTCCTCCTTTTCCCCTGTGTCAAGAGATAAATTCAATTACAAAAGCATCTATTATACTAAAATAACGACTTCTATTTTGTTAGAAGGCATGACGTAAAAACTTTATGTTAAACTTATATAGGAAATTGTGTTGATTAAAAATTACACCATTCCAGGCTATTTTTTTCACATAAGTAATATTACCATCAATTAACAAGTTCTGGATTGAATCCGATTCCGATGTGAATAGTATATGTCACCTATTTGGTAATCTGTACGTTCCACATCTGTTGACGCCCCACCAAAAGGTTAATTTTGATTTGCTATCTACATAACACCTGATCTATGTCGTTATTTAGGGATTGAGACTACTAAATTCAATTATATTACTGTCACGTTTAATTCCAGTTTTAAGTAAGAAAACCAGGACGGGTTTTAAACAGAATGATTTTGATAGCAGAGAAATATTTTTAACATTATCAGATGACAACACGAATACTAAAAAGTCAGGCTAATGGAATTATGAAGCGTAGTTAGTTTAATTCAGCCGCGGACTTTCAATATAGCGGGTGTGTTCCAGTTATTATACTAAAGTTGATTAACTCATTTAAAAAAGAAATCTTATTTTTCTCATAAAGTTATTTATAGGATTTTAATATTACACAGGACTCTGTAATTATTTTTTCAGGGAGAAAATATTACAAATGATATGAAGATTTCAGTAACTAAACCGGGGTTTTACTTTGCAACTGATCTACAAGTAAACCACAATGTGTCATCATGTGGGATCATTAGAGTTTCTTGTAATTTCGGAGGACGCACAGTCAGCAGGAATGTCGATGACTGTCAAGGTTTGCTTACTCGACTTATACCCTCACATATGTACTAATAGTATCATTTCAAATATAAGTTTGAAGTTAGTATTTATTCAGTCAATTATATTCTTGGCACCTTCTCAGAGTTTGCATCATTTTATCAGCATATATGGTTACCGATTTATCAGTAACATAAGCCTAACCATGTAAGTAAGTGAATAAATGACCAAAAAAAAATTATGACCTGTGAAACCCAGTCATTGTGGAGAGTTAAGTAGTGGGAAAAAACCCCAACTGCAACAACAACTTTACAGCCTTTATGAAGCAAAACCAGCTGATATTTATTTGGTTCTGTAAATATTTTCTAGACATATGATGCTTAACAAAGTAATCAGCAATGTTATATTAAAAACATATTTCGGTTTATTTCGACACGACCAAAGGGCCATAGATAATATTTGCAAGGATTCAAAGACTTTATTTTTGTCATTCGCTTCTAACACAATTATGGTTATAAATTTAAATGTGAATCTTTCATAGCAATGACTAACAACACAAATTTGGGATTCGGGGTGCTATGATGGTTGCTACGGGAACCGTATGTGTCATTTGTTTTATTTTTTTTAACAGAAATTTGACAACTTCTTAATTATAACTAAAAAACCGTAAAACATATTGAATAAATATAATATGAAAAATGTTGATCAATAAATTACCTTCAATTTTCCTCAAGGTCAAAGGTCGTTGATGACCTTAAGTTTTAATTATGGTAATTTGTCAGAAAAGATTATAGACAGAAAAATTGACAAATTGTAAAGTTTTAGGACACAGATTCATTTTTTGGTCTAAAAGTTTAAGATTAGAATTCATGATCCTCTCAAAAGTACTTAGTAACCACCACCATTTTATTCTAACGTACTTAGTTACAATACGTATTTTGGTTTATGACTATATGATCTTTTAAATAGACACTGTGCAAAGATCAGGGATCAATGTCATCGAAAAAGTTAAAAGAAATTATTCAATTATAAAAATGTGCATAGCAAACATATCTTTGGGGTAACCTTTCAACAGAAATTCAAAACATTGGTAAATTGTACCGAACATGTACATTTTCTTAAAATTAGGAATGGCTTTCAAGAACATTTAAAGAACATACAATGTACTACCGGGTAGTTGAAATCACAAGTTTAATCCAGAAATAGTAAATTATCAAAATTAATTTCAATGATAAAAGCAAATTAAAAGTTTGTTTACAAATCCAAAGGTTACTACTGAAAATCAATAAGAACTGACCAAAGATATCAGACTAATAAGTTGGTACACCATATGCGACTTTCGTCTATATAAGACATATATGAGGCCTTAAATCAAAACGGATCAAAGGAAAATTTAAAAACCAAGTTAAAGGGCGTTAAAACTAAAATTTCGACAAGTTGTTCCATATACCGGTTAGTCAATCTTTGTCTGATGGTGAAAACTAATGTTTCGAATAATTCAACAGTATATAAAACAAAGTACATTTAAAGAAAATGGACATATATCAATGATATTTCTTGTCAGCTTGAAAGTGCTGACTACTGGCCTGGTGAATAAAACGAAATAGGCAGAATTTCTAAGGGGAAAATAAATAGATTTCTGGTGCGGGCAGGACAAAACCAATTTTGTCATTATATATATATATATATTTATATATATATATACATTTTTTTGTGTACTCTATCGGAAAACGGAATAAAACAATAACTTCTTTTGTATTGGTAAATATGTGGTTTAATTGACTTTTTTTGGTGTTTTTGAAATAAATAATAAACAGATTATATTCGTTTTTACAAATTTCGCTCCCGATCGCGAGCAAGTTTAATCAAGGTTTTCGAAGGCACCAATTTCAGTATTTATAAAAATTAGATGATGTGGTATGCTGATCAATGAAGCAACTATCCACAAGAGACCAACTGACACAAAATTAACAACAACAGGTTATGCATAGTCAGCTATAAAAGGCCCCGAAATGACAATTGAAAAAAATATTTCGAACGAGAAAACAAACGGCTTATATAAAAACATAATAATGAACGAAAAACAAATATTTTACACAGAAACAAAAAACAACCACTGAAGTATAGGCTCCTGACTTGGGGACAGGCTTATACAGAATGTGACTGATTTAAAATGGTTTAAAGGCGTCAACCCTTCCTCTTACACAACGTTATTATTTTCTTTGGACTATATTTTGTCGATATTTCCCCCCATTAGTTAGTGTCAACATTTTTGAGGGGAAATGATGTATTACATATGAATGAAAAGATATGCGAGATAGGATGACTGATATCAAGTTGAAATTAAACTTTTTTTATTAGAGAAGGTAAAACAGGCCTGGTTGCAATTAATTTCAAAAATGATGGGAATATTTTTATTTCAGCATAAAAACCTTTTTTTGAACAAATTGATCGGTTTTTTTTATGTGTGTTGGATTGTGTTTATAGGGCGTAGAAAAATGTAAACATAAAAACATGTTCTTTATCTAAATTAAATGTCACTTTTTTTTTATAATTTCATTATTTATAGAGTAACTATACATTACTTAATGAAGATTTGTTCATTTTAGGGAGTAAAAAAAGGAATGATATTTCTACTTGGATGGTGGTTGGTGTTATATTTGGTGTAGTTATATTGTTGATAGCAATGATTGTGCTTTATTTGCAATTGATTTGTTATCGAAGAAAAAAAACAGAAAAAGGGAGAGTGAAAAGTGACAGTGAAGACGGAAGGTACGTGCCAAGAAGTTAAGTTTTTAAAACATCACGCATACTAAAATCAGTTGCGAACAATTATTACAACATGAATAAGCTGCATATCAAAAACAATATTTATTGAAAACGTTTTAAATAGTAACCTTTAAAACATTTCTAGGATTTAACTGATACTTCGTTCTATTCGTAAAAAAAGGCTAGCAGCATTGGATTAATTTAAAAATGGAAGATGTATTTGAATTTTATTTATTTTATTTTTTTAATTTCATATATGATGAACAAGTTAAAATGAAAACTAGCATATCTTTTAAAAATACTATGTTTATATATTTTAATAGTGTTTATGAAGTGTATTTCAATGGTTTAATATTTCTTGTTTCTTTTCAAACGAAAGCGGTTGCACTTAATTACTTACTTATTGACTTAAAGATTAACAAACAGGGGGAATCATGCCCGGAAATATTATTTCCTTAATTTTTAGCTCACCTGGCCTACACGGCCAAGTGAGCTTTTCTCATCACTTGGCGTCCGTCGTCCGTCGTCTGTTAACAAAAATCTTCTCCTCTGAAACTACAAGGCCAAATTTAACCAAACTTGGCCACAATCATCATTAGGGTATCTTGTTTAAAAATGTGTCCGATGACCTGGCCTGCTTATCAAACATGGCCGCCATGGCTAAAAATAGAACATAGGGGTAAAATGCAGTTTTTGGCTAATATCTCTGAAACAAAAGCATTTAGAGTAAATATGACATGGGGGTACAATTGTTTATCAGGTTGAGATCTATCTGCCCTGAAATTTTCAGATGAATCAGACAACCCGTTGTTGGATTGCTGCCCCTGAATTTGTAATTTTAAGGAAATTTTGCAGTTTTTGTTTATTATTTTGAATATTATTATAGATAGAGATAAACTGTGAACAGCAATAATGTTCAGCAAAGTAAGATCTACAAATAAGTCAACAGGACCAAAATTGTCTATTGACCTCTTAAGGAGTTATTGACCTTTAGTCTATTTTTACCAATTTATTGTAAATTTTTGTTATCTTTTACAAAAATCTTCTCCTCTGAAACTGCATAGACAAATTTAACCAAACTTGGCCACAATTATCATTAGGGTATCTAGTTTGAAAAGTGTGTCAGATGACCCCGCTTGCTAACCAACATGGCCGAAATGGCTTAAAATAGAACATAGGGGTAAAATGCAGTTTTTGGCTTATATCTCTGAAACTAAAGCATTTACAGCAAATCTTACTTGGGATAAAAATGTTCATCAGGTTGAGATTTATCTGCCGTAAAGTATTCAGATGAATCAGTTAACCTGTTGTTGGGTTACTGCCACTGAATTAGTAATATTAGGGAAATTTTGTAGTTTTTGGTTATTATCTTGAATATTATTATAGATAAAGATAAACTGTAAACATCAATAATGTTCAGCAAAGTAAGATCTACAAATAAGTCAACAGGACCAAAATTGTCAATTAGCCCCTTAAAGAGTTATTGCCCTTTAAAGTCAATGTTTAACAATTTATCGTAATTTTTTGTAAATCTCCTCTGAAACTACTGAGACAAATTTAACCAAACTTGACCACAATCATCATTAGGGTATTTAGTTTTAAAAATATGTCTGATGACCCTGCCTCCCAACCAGCATGGCCGACATGGCTAAATTTGAACATAGGGGTAAAATGCAGTTTACAAAACATATCAGGTGAGCGACACAGGCTCCTTGGAGCCTCTAGTTTATATTACTTTGGGTTATTTAGTAGTCAAATTTCCTTTTTTCTATTATTTGATTCAAAAAAGGAAAATATCAGGTCAATTTGTTGACTGATTTTTGCTTGTTAAACGTGTAGTGGCAAATGATAAATGAAAATATATCGATCGCCTCTTTAAACGTATGAGACAAGCGCATATATATGAAGGCTCGTCGGGTCACAATCCAGCTTTATACATGTTCGTTCAAGAAACGAGTTGTAGTTTGTTCGTGTATGCTAGAGCAACGTGTTGCGTTTGATTAATGTACACTAGATTAACGCGTACAGCATTTAATTCGTGAATCTCTAAGTAGCATAGAGTAACGCTTTACCCATACGCGTACGATAAAGCAACGCATTGATGCTTAACATTGGAGGGTGTTCGCATTCCTGTATTGAAGGAATATCATACTAGAATACCCAGTGTCACCACTATTAACGGACCAGTTAGGATTCTACTCCGTCGTATGTATCCCCATCATGCTAGCTTATTTTTACAATCTTATAAATGGAAGCCATTGTAGGGATGGTGCGCTACCTATTTAGCTCTTGGAAATTAATAAATTTATCCACATAGCACCATTAGGATCCTTATATACAACTAGTATTTTAAATGACAACGGTATCTACTAGCTATTGAGGATCATTTTATGCACTTTTCAGCATTTGGTCAACTTACAACTATTGTCTGGTTGGTTGTAAGGTGGAATTTTCGAGAGTTCAAAAATATCTAAAAAAAAAAACCAATTAAATATTTCGTGGACTAAAAACATTCAGAGTTGAAGACTAATAACCCTAGATAACACACACAAAAAGTATATTCATTTTTGAAGTTATGCATTTTTAAGATCAACTTGTAAAGTCGGTCGTTAAGTACTTCCAGTAGAAAAAATAGTTATTTCACCACACCTACTCTGTACCATTAAAAATGTATGTCACTTGACCACTATATTTCATTTTTGAGTACCATGAATTTTAAATGTTTTTAAATCAACCTGTTGACTGAACATATAAAAATAACAGAATCTGAAGCGAGATAATAGATCAAAGGTTTTTGTTTCATACGTTTTCAAGACGGAATAGTCAACTCGAACCCGCACGAACATGAAAAAGCGCACTCGACTTTCGCCATTCGATGAAATAAACGCCCGTTTTAATGATTTTTTTTCTTCCAAAAAAAACTGTCGCCTGGGCAGATATGCAAATTAATGCTTTACAATTATCAATCTATCGTCCTTTAGTGGACTTCGGCCGAATTTATGCTCATGCACAAAAAATATCCACTTGTGTTTGCATCTACGACAATGGACCGTTTTATGAAAATATGTCTATATTTTAAAACAAATATCTCGAAGCTCCATACAATAACTTAAGTGAAAACATGTATATAATTTCAGTAACTGTGCTAGTAGTCCTTTGTGAATTTATTTATTATTGTTATTTTGTTTAGTTTCTTTTGTTACCTATTCTAAATTCGGACTCGGACTTCTTTTGAACTGAGTTTTACTGTGCGCATTTTTGTGTGTTTGTTTTTTCTACATTGGCTAAAGGTATTGGGGGAGTGTTGAGATCTCAAAAATCATGTTTTACCTCGCCGCATTTTTGCGCCTGTCCCAAGTCAGGAGCCTCTGAACTTTGTTAGTCTTGCATTATTTTTAATTTTAGTTTCTTTTATATATTTCGGAGTTTAGTATGACGTCCATTATCACTGGACTAGTATACATTTTTGTTTCGGGGCCAGCTGAAGCACGCCTCCTAGTGTGGGAATTTCTCGCTGAATTGAATACCCATTGGTGGCCTTTCGGTTGTTGTCTGCTCTTTGATTGGGTTGTTGTCTCTTTGACACGTTCCCCATTTCCATTCTCAATTTTATATAAGATGCATAAAATCCTAAATAATGCTCCTGCATTAAAATTTTAAAGCCCATGGAAACATATGTTAACAATTTAAATATACCAATTTGGCTTTTTACCTTCTCTAACAAGAGTTCCATTTCTGTTTTAATGTCAACTGGGTATCCACCTAGAACTAACAGAATTATCTACACCATCAACCGTACCCAGCCTTAATTGGATGCTTTTAGCAGAGACTACGCAGTACAATATATCATATACTAGTAACTATATTTTCGTTTGATATTGTTGGAAAATTGCCATGTGTTTGTGTCTGTTTGAAATTTTACATTAAAAGGGCAAATGTTTAAGGTAAGAACATATTTTTGAATTCGTATAACAGAACAATTTCATTACAAATGTAAAGCATATAGTTTATACTTTGAACAACTTCAAACGTACAATAGCTGCAACATGTTACAAGAGTAACCCGAAGCATCTATAACGTGTTACTCTAGGCTACGTAAAATAAGGGATACGCGTTGCTCTAGGGTACGTGTATAAACTGCAAAGTCCTGCTCATCATTTTTTGTTAAAAATGATAAGTGTATTACACATTTTTTTAAATTTTTTTAACTAGTACAATACCTATGCACCCACAAAACCTGCCGTAGAAGTCTAGGAAGCCGACATAACTTTCAGTTTACAGTGAGTGTATTTAAGTCTGATATATTTTACATATACATATAATACATTTTTTTATATTTTACCTTTTCTAGTTAACGGGAGACATTCAATTTTGAAAGTGTCTAGAAGCACAAATTCAAGATTTATAAAACTAATCTCCATTTCATGCTTTAGTAAACGCCATATTTTGGTCCGAATATTCAGAGCTTGGTATACAATCATTTATTCTGTCTTGAGATGATAAAGACAAACATGTTGGACACTCTAAACATGTCATGGTGGTACAATTTGGTACCCTACAAGCTACGACTTGTCTGAATGGTACAATGTCGTACATTAAAAGCTACAACAGTGTCATATAATGGTCATATAATGGTACTATTAAGTACCCTACAAGCTACGACTTGTTTAACGTGGTACAACTTATATTTGACAAGCTGCGTGTACAAGTCTTAAAGAACAAACCCCAAACTTTCTTTTATTGCACTACAATTTCAATTCCATATAAGAGAATACAATTATCTCTTATAATCACGTACTGTACGTATCATTGCTAAGTGAGCTTTTCTTATCACTTGACATCCGTCGTCGTCCGTCGTCATCCGTAGTTGTCGTGTGTCGTCGTCCGTTTACTTTTCCAAAAAGGGTAATCACTTAAAGAGTGGGTCAAATATAAGGGGCGCGGGGGTGGGGGGTGGGGGGTGGGGGTCGAAATAAACCCAACTTGGCCACAATCAGCTTTAGAGTATGTGGTTTTAAAAATGTGTCCTGTGACCCGCCTACCAAACAACATGGCCGGCATGGCTAAAATAGAACACAGGGAAAGTAAAATCACAAAAATACTGAACTCCGAGGAAAATTCAAAAAGGAAAGTCCCCAATCAAATGGCAAAATCAAAAGTTCAAACACATCAAACGAATGGATAACAACTGTCATATTCCTGACTTGGTACAGGCATACAGCCATATGTGATGAAAGTTTATTATGAACCTTAACACGAATTGACCTCAGTCCTCAGGTCATCTGGTGTAACTCATTCATAAAAAACAACTCAAGATTGGTCTATTTTGACTATGGTTACTTGTAAACCCATTTTTTCAGTTTTTGTCTTTCCTTCAACCTAAGTGGCAGAATCATGTAGAAAATGGTGGAATGAACCTGGTTTTATAGCTAGCTAAACCTCTCACTTGTATGACAGTCGCATCAAATTCCATTAAATTGACAACGATGCGTGAACAAAACAAACAGACACAATAGGTAAAAATAACAAAAATAGTGGTACAGCAGTCAACATTGTGTTATCATCTTAATCACTATAAAAACAAACAAATGTAACAAAGAAGCACAACAAGGGATACATCAAATTTAACATCCTCATTTTGCTTATATTATACGATTTTATATATCTATGTAAAATCCACCCATAAAATGTAAGTCTTGCTTATTATTTTTTGAACCGTTATAAATAAAGAAAAATCGGAAAGGAGCAAAAATGTTCAGAAAAATGAGCTCTACCAATTGTCCATATACGTCAAAACTGTTTAGGGAAATCTTATAGGAGTTATTGGCCCTAAATGACAAATGTACCATTTTTATTTATCATTTTTGCATATCATCATAAAAACTGTGATATTTGGAGAGAAACATTTTTACTCCGTTATGCCTTATATGATTTAAAGTATAATAGATATATAAACACTAATCACAAAAATTATTAGCAAGGCAAGATCTATTAAAAAGTAAAAATTTTCCGATATAGTTAGTAGACTATCACTCTTTATAGGTGTAATTGTCCTTAAATGAGGATTTATTTTACCCTCTTTTGTGTGTTTTGTAAAAAAACTAAAGAAGATAGAGAGAGTACCTTAACAGACTAAAAGATCAGTAATACAAGATCAACAAAATAAAGATTAATTTCACGAAGTCTATTCTCAACTACAATGTTGGAGAGTGTCCTTTGTTTGATATGCAAATATACAAAGGTGAGCGACACAGGCCCTTTAGACACATATAACAGCGACCTGGTGCGAAATATTGTGGAACTATTTCATACTTGATGTTTTAGTTCTTAATTTGTAACTTGTAGTTTTTCTTAGGAAACAAAACTTCTCACTGGCTGTCAGCGGTTACAGTCACATTGAAACATTTTCCAAAAACGTGACTCAAACCAATACAGTTTACATACAGAGGGTTTTAATGTTTCGATTGCAATAAAAATATGCGTCCTGTACAAACCTAGATATATTTCAAATTACAAATTGAGAAATCTATAATTTCATAGTAACGATTTAGAATGAAGATGTTTAATTGAACAAGTAAAGAAATATCATTTCACAAATTTTAAAGACATGTATAATTGCAGGTAACAAACGAAGAACATACGTCTGTAACAAATTAAGAAATTGCATTTACACATTTAGAAGTTACATGACACAAATCAAATAATGTTGAAATTCATGTAACGGACGAAAAAAAATCGTTCAAGAGCGAGGGCTTCAACATGCATATTCACGTTGGTAGGTGAGGCATATGTGGTATAATAGTGTCATCATTGTGCTCTGAACATTAAATAATATTTTATTGAATGACAATATAAAATGATAAACATAAGTTTTTAGAAATAAGTAGAATATTTCACTAGAGTATATTATTTTATCTTTGAATTCTTGAAGTGTCTTCGTAGACTTAAGACGAATGATAATTTATCCGATTCCTCGTCGGCTTATATGATGCAAGGTCCATACCATTATTGTAGAATGCATGTTCTTTTATATTTTTCTTTTCATCTTAGAATTCTTTTCAAACATTATAACATTTTGATCTAACCTAAAATATCCTGCTTGAAATTCCGATGATTGTTATCTAAGTAGAACAAAACACCAAAATAAGATTGCTATCAAGTCGTTGCTTTTGTCCATTGTTGATCTTGAATTTGGTAAACATTACACCATTACTTTTCTATTCGCGTACGATGTCCTGTTACGTTAAGAATTACTTGTGTGTGAAATAAAAATAAGAAAGTGTCGTATGATTGCAAATGAGACAACTATCCACTATACAGACCAAATGACGTAGATATAAGCTAAAATAATAGGCCATTGTACGGTCTTCAACAATGAGCTGTGCGGTATGTTTAATTTGGTTTTGTGGTAGTTAGTCATTTGTGATAGACATTATAACGGTTTCCTTCCCTCTTCTTTGTAGAATTCAGTATCATAAGTGATAGCTTTCATTTTAGTTGATGAACAAAATATAAAAAAAGAAGATGTGGTATGATTGCCAATCAAACAACTCTCCACAAGAGACCAAAATGACACAGAAATTAAAAACATGTTTTGAACTCTTTTAAATCAATTAAACTACATTACAGTTTCATCAACTAAGATAATTCTGCATAAATACATCCGACCTGAATGATTGTATGCTAATCCTGATTCACCTTCAGCAGCAAAAGAATGTTTTCACTGTAAACGAACTTTAATTTGTCAACCCCTGCCGGAGAAGACACACCAGAAAAACTCGTTTTGTTTGAGCAATTTTGTTTTTCCGCGAGGACATCAATATATCGGTGAATGTGAAACTTACGATATGGCTATAACATTGTTCAAAGCTGTGTTTGTTCGACCGAAAACCAAAGTAGTGGCTAGGCACTTCTTGATATCATACAGACACCAGTCATGTATGACACCCTACTAGTTTCTACAAGAGCTACACATCTTGTCAAAGGACTGTAGTTTTCACTAGTAACGGCCGATAATTACAAGAAATGATACATAAGGGACGCCTTTATAAATGGATTATACTAACAAATATTTCGACAGTGTTTGTTAGAAAATAAACTCTTGACCTTGAAACAATGTTTGATCAGACACGGACATTAGATTTAGCTCAACGCAGTAATGAAGTGTATGTTCAACCATATTCTGTGACAGACGCTAAGGTTGAAACAAAAGTGCTTCTTTTTTGGGAATAATGCTCATGCAAGATGTGTGTGTCCCGCAAAAGGATGCCACTTCTCGTATTTGTGGTAAAAATGACATTTTCGAAAGTCTGTAAATCTAACACAACAAAGTCTGGAACATTTGCCTCTTGTTCTATATAAGCAATTGTGAGTAATGCATCGCCGCATGTTTAGAGATAGACAATTAGCTTAATTGATATCAGCAATAACTATAAATGACGCTACTGGTAGTGTATCACTGACATTCAATGCTCTAAGTAGGAATTTGCAATGTAAACTTGCACATTGATCGAAATTTCTATCCAAATATGCAGTTGTCTCACTTAAACAAAAACCGGTTGTGACATTATCTTAGGACATGACTTCATGAAAAGACACCATAGTATCAAAATAAGTTTCGGTGGTAGCAGACCAGCCGTCGAAAATAATTATCTAAATACATTTGTAGTCTAGCTGCTCAAACTTTTGATCCCCCTGAATTATTTGCAAACTTGATATGTGAATTTCGACATATTGCTACAAAATCATGGAAGTTCAGTGCAGTCGATAGCAAAGTACCGTTTGTACCAATTTCGAAGAGTCATATTTGCATTGGCGTTGCGAATGGAGTTGCTTGTTTTCAAAGAGTCATTGTCTAGTTACTGAATACAAATTAGAAGCAGTATTAGTGTATATCGATGATATCACAATAGGAGAAATGGACAAAACGAAAAAGATGAAAACTTTCGTAGATTTCTTGATGTTGCAGACTAACATGAGTTGTCATTTAATAAGAATAAATGTTTGAATTCGGTCTAGTCAGTCTACTTGGATATACCATCAGGCATTGTGTTGTACGACCTGACTCTGATCTAATGAAGCCACTAGGAGAACTCCCTGTTCCCCAAAGTACTAAATCGATAAAAAGAGCCTTAGGAATGTTTTCTTATTATTGTCAATGGATTTCAAGATTCTCGGACAAAATTAAACCTTTAGTTAATGGTACTTTTTTCCGTGATACTATATTGGAGTGAAAGCATTCGATGATCTGAAATCCGATCTTGGAAACGCAAGTATGAGTGCAATTAAAAAAGCTATTCTTTTTTGTCGTAAAAACCGATGACAAGCATTCTGCAGTAGCCAGAAATCTCAATCAGGGCGGAAGGCCTGTTGCTTTTTTTTCGATAACTTTCAATGCTCATGAATTCACCTGTAAAAAGGGGGAACATGTGCAACAGTAGAAGCTAATCGCAAGTGAAGAAATTTACTTATTGGGAAACACTTCACTATTGTCACTATTTAATGGCAAACACTTCACTCTTGTCACTGATCAGAAAGCAGTTCCTTATATGTTTGATACATAGAAGAAGCACGTAAACTGAAAAATGACAAATGAATTCGATGGAGAACTGAATTGAGCTGCGACAGCTAGAATGTAAAATATCGTCCTGGACGAGACAATGCGTAGGCAAATGCTTCTTATGAGTCTACTGCTCCTCAGTCAGCTCAGATCCCTTTCTGAATTGTGCAGTGCGTTTTGTTATCCGGGCATCAATCGATGTCTTGACAATGAACGTTGCTTGATGACGTCAAGAAAACAATTTAACAGTGTCAGATTTGTGCAAAAGTGAATCTCAGTATGCTTCACCGAATGCATTACATGTTTGGAAAACTACACATCATTTGAACGCTTACGCATTGACTTAAGGGTCATTGTCGTCTGTTAGTACGAAGAAGTATATTCTTAGCGTTGTTGACGTGTACCTAAGATTCACAATTGCCTTTTCTAGTTCCAATATGACAAGCGCAACTGTTATTCAGTGTTAATGACAGGGTTTGTTTTTTATTGTATGCTTGCTTATATTCACTCCGACTGTGGTTGATATTTCATGAGCGCAATGCACTCAAAACTTGTTCTACAATCACATGGAAAAGATATACTAGCAGGACAATGCCCAAAGACTACATAGTAATGGTCAATGAGTACACTATGATGGTTTTATCTTGAAAGCTGTTACTCAAGCATTAGAATCTTTGGAGCTTAAAGAGATTCAGTGGGAGATTGTATTGCCAGATGAACTGCACTCTGTTTTGTTATGTACTTCATTAAACTGTACTCACAAGGTTTTTCATTTTTACAAGAATATTGTTTTCTGGCCAACCCTTTCCGTCTTGGCTACCCAGCCTGGACCGGTTTTAATGGGAAAAATAACATACATGTATGCGTGCGACTAAGTATGATCCTCTCGTCGAGGAAGTAGATTTTTGGAAAGATCCATCTTATCCTCCTATTAGATTGTGTGATAGACGCGAAACAACTGTTTCTATCCGTGCTATTAGTGCTAACATGACAACAAATAAACAATGCCAATCTTGATCATTCAGTATTAACGATATAACAACAGACATCGATTAATGCGTGTATTTCGGTTTTGAAACTGCAACACGAGAAAATACCAGCAACATGGACAACTGTGTTGAAACGTCTCAAGGTGGTAGACGATCTACACGTTAGATTAAGAAACCATGAAGATATAGATTTGACGATTATCTGAACATTTGTATTGAACTATTAGTTGACTTTAAGTGGGGATGAATGTTATATATAATGTTAATTAGGTTTTGTGGTAGTTAGTCATTATTAATAGACATTATAACATTTCCTTTTCCCTTTTATGTAGACTCCTGACTCATAGATGATAGCTTTGATATTAGTTGATGAATAAAACATATATCTACTTATGAACTCTTTTGAATCAATATAACTACATACTATATTAGCTAGTTGTTTGATTGCCTTGTTTATTTCCTAACGATTTATAACAGCTATAAACGGAAGTTTTGTGTTTTATATTTCAATGCATACTGTATATTTTGAAGGATAATATTTTTCAATTTATATAAAAACTGTTTAGACATGTCACTCCTTCAGACGGCTTTAATAAGTTCTAAGGTAGTAAACTTAATAATAACCACAAACCTATTTTCAATTTTCATTAAAAAGACCTGCATTGGTACGAATTCAAATATTCCTGGAGTCTAATTTCAAAGAAAAAAACATTTGTATTGAGGAAAGGAAGACGTGAAATTGACCCCATAGAGAGAGAATGACACAATTCCTCTTGCAAATACTTTTTGAGAGATGCTACTGGTGCCTTGTTGCAAATAAACCTCTCTCGCTATAAATATCTTAGCTGTGCCAGTTCAACTATCCTATCATCAATCCTGAACGACCTACATGCATCACATTATTGTGTGATTTATAGTTTAATTTGTTCTCTACCTGAACATCCATGAAATATTTCTTACAGGACGTTCAGCAAATAGAAAATTATTTAAACTGTATTACAATTATCATGCATAAAATATATTAGTTTCACATACACATTCAAATAATTATCAAACTAAATGTACAGTATGCATTAAAAAAGAAAATGAATCTTGCATACATAGTTGTAAAAAGGGATTAGAAATTATGGATGCAAAAAAATCCCGTAATAAGTCGAATTTGGAGAATTATTGCATTAATGGCAAAGTATCTCTTTTTAGCTCACATGGGCTTTTAAGATCATATGAGCTATTGCATTCACATGGCGTTCGTCGTCATTTTCTTCTTTAAAACAACATGGCCAGTTTCAACCAAACTGATGCCGAATGATCCTTCGATAATCTAGTATAAAGTGTGTGTTTTTATTCTTGTCCGTCAAGAACTATGATCACTAGGGCTACAAAAGCAACGTAAGGTTTAAAAGCATTAATTATCCCTGTTGAAAACTATATTATGTAGACAATATGCTCAGAATGTTAAGATCTAATACTGTTTGTTTGCACTTAAATTAGCAGATTACTTCTTATGGGGTGTTTGCCGTGAAATACGATCTAATGTATGTTGACGTACAGATAATCCCTCAAATGATATATTCCCAAGTGGCTCCTTTATTGACCTGTTCGTTGAATTGTTTTTATACCCCCGCTTTAAAAAAAGTGGGGGTATACTTTTTTACCTCTGTCTGTCCATCCATCCGTCAGTCCATCCGTAAGTCCATCCGTCCGTCAAGTTGAAAATTTCGTCATATTTTTCTCAGGAACTACAATACAAGGATTTCAGAAATTTGGTTTCAGTGTTTATATAAGGTCAGCTTTACATGTTTACAGTGTAATGCGTTTTCAGATTCATCACTCAACAACTTCCTGTTAACCGAAATATTTTGGCGGGGGTATCATCATTGAGCAATAGCTCGCAGTCTTACTTGTTTGCATCGTTTTGATATTTTGGAAGATTGTTTAGACTGATACCTACAAGGTTTTCTTCAATTTTCGCGAAAACCTCGAGGATATGTATATATATCGTGACATTTTCAGGAATTATGCATTTTCACTAGACACAATGGTTGGTATTACACATGATAACGAAAATGAAGAGACTATGAAAAAAGTTAAATAATTCATTCTATAAAAATCATATTTAAACATCGTTAGAAACATAAATATCGAAATATTAAGTACAATATTATAAAAACAAATTATTTATTTTCATAAACTACTTTTAAAACTTCGATGACATCAACTATGAGGGTCAGGGTAGACGTCTTTTATTCCTTTATTCTTTAAATTTTTAGATCATATTTCTCTTTTCTTTATTCATTTTACACATAATTATCTATTCTCTTTGATTTATTGTTTTTGTTTTGCAGCACTGGGTTGATACCTCTCGTGGTGGACTGTCAGTCTACGAGGGTATCATCCGCTCAATAGTCAGTACTTCTGAACTGATATGTTTATAACAAACCTTTCTAGATTTGTCCATCTACAAATTTTGAAATTTTAAAGAAACTATAGTTTCAACTCCCTCACATATTCGGCTTTGGGCGTTCCTGGTGAAGGTGAATACAAAAAACGCGATTCGGAAGCATGAAATTTATAACGTGTTTTTTTGCTCTGCCATTGTTTTTGTTGTCTATTTTACATCGTAACATTGCATCCAATAACGGTCTCCAAAATTGTGTTCAATCTATCAAGCCTGAATTCTTTTTGTGTTTCTTTTCGTTAAGTTACGTTTCCTTGCTTAGTGTGAATTCCTTGTTCTTTGTTACAAAGACAACATAGAACAGATGTTTAATAACGTTTATCCACTTTGTTTTACAGCAACTTTTATGATCCGTGCAGTTATGATTGTATCATTAATTTTAATTGAAGATATGTTTTGTTTATGAGTTAATGTGGCCCAGCACAGTTAAATAGAATATCACCTGCAAAACTGTGCACTTTAATAAGATTTGATCAATGGACATGGAATGAAAGCTGTCCACTAAAACCACAAATGAGTAATAAATATGATTTATTTGTCTATATTTGATTTATTTTTATCAAACTAAGACCCTATTTGTTATTGATATTCCCTGAAATAATGGCGTAGTCAGTTTATTTTCGACTTATGAATTTGAATGGTCCTTTGGTATCTCGGCTCCTCTTTTTAAGGGAATGTGTAAAATATTTTTTAAAATTGTCTGTGATTATGTAAAACAAAGATGATATATAATCACTAATAATTTTCCTGAAAAATCATAGATTCTACATAATCTCTGATTATACAAATTCACTGTAACATTATGTATGTTTTAAGAATATCAAGCAAACAATAATGTATTAATTTGTTTTGTTTATATTAAAGGAGATTATTCTTGCCAATAAGATGAAGGTGAAGTAGAACTGTGCAGTACAAAAGTTAAATTCTAGTCAAATATATACTGACAGATTTTTAATTCATCATCACCACCACCACCACAATCATCACAAACAACTACATTCTGACCATCACAACTACCAGCACCAGCACCACCATCACCACCACCACCATCACCACCACCACCACCACCATCACTCGCACCATCAATGGCACCATCACTATTACCATCATCATCATTAAACTCCAAAATACTCTTTTGAGACAATCATCAGGGATAACGAGGTGTGGATATATTTTAGCTTCAAAAGATTTTTCATTGTCTATGTTGTCTACAAATGTCCTCGTGGCTTACACATAAATCTTCATCATCACATTTCTATTGTATTGGTTAAATGTTTTCATTTTAGTTAAGCAGCATTTTGCCGAAACTGAACTTGTAGCCCGAAGCCTACGAGAACAAAACATACCACTAGCTAATATAAGAAAAATTGTCTATCTCAGAAACTGAATATTAGAAGAATGACAACACGCATTTTTTGTCAATAAAAGGTCTTACAGGTACAAAATGATCTTTGTCAGATTATTTTTCCAGAAAAAAAAGAAATTACTAAAACTTTATCACAATAAGACATGTTGACCATATTTGGGCATATGAGGCAGGATTGGCTTTTTTTTTTACAGCTTACATGATTTCGAATAAAAATTAATATAAAACAATTGTAAGAATGCACCACATTACTTCATTGAATCAATGAGGGTACGTTATAAGTGCAATATCAATAAGTTTTTTACAAAAATAAGATGATAACATGGCATACAAACACATTTTAAAATATGAAGAGCAAAATATCTTAAAAATTTAAGAAATGTCAAGTCTAAATTACTTCTAGTTGTTTAGAAGTAAAAAAAAAACAAAAGGGGGATTAGAAAGATGAAAATATATCAACTTTTGAGTGTTAAAAAAGAGGGGCAATTGAAACCAGAGGGAAATCAAAACTCATAGGTCGAAAATAAACTGACAACGCCATGACTAAAAAAGAAAAAGACAAACAGACAAATAATAGTACACAAGACGCAACATAGAAAACTTAAGACTAAGCATCACGAACCCCACCAAACACTGGGGGTTATCTTAGGTGCTCCAAAAGGGTAAGCAGATCCTGCTCCACATGTGACACCGACTGTGTTGCTCATGTTATTACAAATCCGGTAAATAGTCTAATTCGGTAGGTCACATTCGTTAAAAAGGAACGGGATTGTAGTTACGAAATAAGGAACATTTTCGATATCATCTGTGAAACGGATATTCCATAACGGTCAACCAACTCGTTATGGCGTCCGTAAAATTTACGAAGAAAGGATTTCAACCTCACCATTTAGTACTTTTGGTTTAATAGCTTCCTTGTGAGCATCAATCCTCTATCAAGGAAATCATGATAGGAAATACAAGGCCAGGAATATTTAATCAATTGGGAGATATATACTTCGTATGTAGGCGCTGCTGGAATGTTGCTACATAGAAATGGAAAGTTCAAAATTGGGAAGCTGAAATCAACTCTTTTGTCGTAAAGTTTTGTATTCCACCGACCTTCATTGTCAGTTTCTAGATGTAAGTCAAGATATGAGGCAGATTTAACTGTATCTGTTGTATCATTTATCTCTAGTTCGATTGGATAGATGCGTTCAACGTAGTCACCAAATTTACCCACAGTTATGCTTTTTATGTCTGTACCTTTAGCATATTGACCAATTCTGAATTCGACTTTTACAAAAAAAAAGGATTGTAAATAATGGGAAGAACAATTGTGGTTTGAGGCCAATAAAAAAAAGGTATAGTAAAATAATAAATGACAAATCATAAACATCCGGCCACCTCGACATATTGAATCAGACAAATTATAAGTGTTGAATAAGTGAAAGACGGAGAAAAACTACCTTTTTAATTAGTTAATACAACATTCAATTGTCTAAGGCCATACAAATGATGGAGGTGTGAATACCGATTTCTCATACCACTTTTCAACTATTATTTGATCATTAGTCTAAGTTACAATTT